CACCCCCGAGGGTCCCGCGGCCCCGCGGTGCGCCCATGGCCGGCTCGGAGCAGCCGCCGGCGGCGGGCGGCGGCCCCGACGGCGGAGCGGCGCCGGGAGCCTCCGAGGCTCCGGGGGAGCGGCCGCTGAGCCAGGGGCTGAGCGTGCTGGTGGGGCTGGCGCTGTGCGTGACCATGCTGGGGCTGGGCTGCGCCGTGGAGCTGGGGCAGCTGGGGAGGCAGCTGCGGCGCCCCGTGGGGGTGCTGCTGGCGCTGCTGGGGCAGTTCGTAGCCATGCCGCTGGTCGCCTTCCTTCTCGCCCTCATCTTCGCGCTGGACGAGGTGGCGGCAGTGGCGGTGCTGCTGTGCGGCTGCTGCCCCGGGGGGAACCTCTCCAATCTCATGTCGGTGCTCGTCGACGGCGACATGACCCTCAGGTAGGCACCGGGCGACGGGACGGGAACAGCGTGAGGCTCGGCCCCGGGACCCCGATCCTACCACGGGCCGGGGAGGACGGGAGAGGGGGGTGTGTTTAGGCAGCTCCTGTCCCGATACGATTCACTGTACCTTTCGCTCCCCCGCAGCATCATCATGACCGCCTCCTCCACGCTGCTGGCTCTGCTCCTGATGCCGCTGTGCCTGTGGCTGTATAGCCGGCCCTGGATCCACACGGCGCTGGTGCGGCTGCTGCCCCTGGGAGCCGTCAGCCTGACGCTGGGCAGCACGCTGCTGCCCATCGGCCTGGGGGTGCTCATCCGCTACCGGTATCCCCGCGCTGCCGACCTCCTGGTCAAGGTAAGGGCACGGCAGCGGGCACCGGAGTAGCGGTGCAGTGCAGAGGTTCTGAATGCACAAAGTGAGAGCAGAGGGGGTTCTCGTGCTGTTAAACTCACAGCCTTGTGCTCTTTCTCGCTGTCTGTGGCCAGGTCTCGCTGTGGTCCCTCTTAGTGACCCTGGTGATCCTCTTCATTCTGACTGGCACCATGCTGGGGCCCGACCTGCTGGCGCACATCCCTGCCTCTGTCTATGCCATCGCCGTACTGATGCCGCTGACGGGGTACGCCCTGGGTTATGGTTTGGCCACTCTCTTCAGAATGCCCCCGCACTGCCGAAGAACGGTGTCTCTGGAGACTGGCTGCCAGAACGTTCAGCTCTGCACCGCCATCCTCAAGCTCACCTTCCCCCCGCAGCTGGTGGGTGGCATGTACATGTTCCCCCTGCTCTATGCGCTCTTCCAGGCAGCAGAAGCGGGGCTCTTTGTGCTGGCCTACAAGGTGTATGGCAGAGACGGCCCCAAGCAGGAGATGCTGGGCGAGGAGGAGGACACAGACATCTCCTACAGGAAGCTGAAGGAGGAGGAGGTGCCCGATACCTCCTATGGCACGGTGACCACTGAGGAGCTCGGTGCTGCTCCAACAGAGCCGGCACAGACAGCGCTGTAGGCAGATGCTGGGGTGACAGCCGGGGCCATGTGCTGTTGTTGAGGCGACGGCATGCTTGTCATGAAGCCATGCTTGTGCTGGGTGCACTCACTCGGACTCTGTTGTTGTTCCAGCTGCTCCCGTCGTACAAAGTGACGTATGTTTATTGCCATCACTGGTGTATTTCCTCAAAAGTACATATAAATAAAAAGAATAATAATAATAATAAAAGAGGAGAAAGTATCACTGCCGCACAACTCAGTGACGGCTCTTCTCCGTGCAATGAGGCTCCCGTCCGTGCGAGCGTGGAAGAAGGAGCGCATTCCGAGGGGCCGAGAGGCTGTCACCTTGCACGTGTCTCCACGCTCCCGTCGTAAAACACCGTGCTGTCCGCGCTCGCCGCAACTACGCGGCCGAGCCCAAACCAAACCCGCGTTGCGGCCCATTCGTCACGTGCAGGCAGCACGAGCACCGCTCCCCTCAGCTCACCGAGCCCCGCGGGCGGCCCGAGGCCCCAGGCCGGGCTTCAGGCGGGCGCCGCCGGGGCGTGGGGAGCCGGGCCCCGCCCCGGGGGTATTTAAGGCCGCCCCCGGCCGGCTGTCGAGGCGCCATGGCGGAGGACGCGATGGAGAGCTACCTGTACGCCGCCTACCCGCCCTACTCGTACCGCTACCCACCGCCCAAGGGCAAAGGCGGGTCGGGCGGCTGGCGGCCGCGGGGCGGCTACTTGGCGGGCTACGGAGAGGCGGCGGCGGCCGCGGCCGAGTACTTCGACAACTACCAGCGTGCGCAGCTGAAGGCCATCCTGTCGCAGGTGAACCCCAACCTGACCCCGCGGCTCCGCAAGGCCAACACCAAGGAGGTGGGCGTGCAGGTCAACCCGCGGCAGGACGCCTCGGTGCAGTGCTCCCTCGGGCCCCGCACGCTGCTGAGGCGCCGGCCCGGCCTCGCCCCGTCGCGACCCCGCGAGGCGGCCCCGCAGCCGGAGCAGGAGCAGGGCAGCCCGGTCACCACCGGAACCCGAGCCGTGCGCTTCCCGCGCACCGTCGCCGTGTACTCGCCCGTGGCGTCCCGTCGCCTCACCGCCTTCCCCGAGGAGCCAGAGCCGCCGCCGCGGGAGCCTGAGGCGTCGCGGGAGCCTGAGGCGTCCCGGGAGCCCGAGGCGCCGCCGGCCCCGGCAGCCGTCGAGGAGGAGCGGCGCGAGGCGGAGGCGGTGCGAGCTAGCTGGGAGAAACCGCCCGAGCGCGAGGCCGCTCCGCTGGAGCAGCGCGGGGCCGCGGCGCCGGACGGGGATCGGGAGGGGGCAGAGCCGCGGGAGGAGCCGCCCGCCGCGCCCCAGAAGCAGGAGGCGGCCCCGGGCAAGGCCCGTCTGCGGTTCCAGGTGAGGAGCGGGGCTTGGGGCGGGGGCCGGGCCGCGCCGCGCGTCGCCCTCGGTAACGGCCGTCTCCGTCAGTTCCTGGAGCAGAAGTACGGCTACTACCACTGCAAGGACTGCAACATCCGCTGGGAGAGCGCCTACGTCTGGTGCGTGCAGGGCACCAACAAGGTACGTCCCGTCCCGCCCGGCCCCTCGCCGGCCCCCCGTCCCGCGCACGCTGACCGCCCCGCGCCCCGCAGGTGTATTTCCGTCAGTTCTGCCGCACCTGCCAGAAGTCTTACAACCCGTACCGCGTGGAGGACATCACCTGCCAGGTAACCTCCGTTCCCTGCACCCCCGGGCCGCTCCCCGCTCCCCCGCTGACGCCGCCTCTCCGCAGAGCTGCAAGCAGACGCGCTGCACCTGCCCCGTGAAGCTGCGCCACGTGGACCCCAAGAGGCCGCACCGCCAGGACCTGTGCGGGAGGTGCAAGGGGAAGCGCCTCTCCTGCGACAGCACCTTCAGCTTCAAATACATTATCTGAGGAGGAGGGGGATTTTGTTTGTTTAGGGCTCTTCCAGGGGAACTGCAGGCTCGGCAGGTTGTTTTCCGTTGTTGTTGGTTGGGTTGAGGGTGGCTGGGAAAGCTGCGAGTAAAGATTTGGTGAAGCCTCTGCTGGTCAGGTGGGGCTGTGCCCGGTTTGGGGGTGTGCGTTGAGATTTTGGTAATTGTGTAAGGGAAGAGCCCACAAATACTGGTTTGCGAATTAGTGACAGCCTGGGCTGCAGCCAGCTCAAGGCTGTGTGGAATCTCAGACAGGAAAGAACGCTGGTTACTCATCCTGCATGGGAAGCTCAACCACTTGTGCATCAGGCTGACATCCACCGTGGGTGGTGGAGCACATCGCGAAGGGGGCCATGGCGGTATTCAGTCACTGTGCACATTGGTGCTGCAGGGCTCCTGCCCTGCTGTTCCTCTCTGGAAGAGGCTGGGAATGACTGTAGAAGTCAGGCTGCTGCCCATATGGCTGCCCGGGCTTGGCTGAGCTGGTGTTATAAGCTGGGACCACATGCTGCTTGGGGTGGTGTTCATTTGTCTTCAGAAGCAGCTATCACTGGCTGATGGCAAGGGAGTTTTTGATGTTACGTGCATCAGGTGAACAGAAACTTTGGGTTATTGGGAAAAGTGGCACTTGAAAGGCTCTAGGTGACCTGCATCTGCCCAGCTTCCTCTGAACCTGCAGGTGCTGCACAAAGAGCTGCACATGTGGTGGTGTGTGCTTGGGGTCGTCTGCCTCCTGTCAGGGAAGGAGCAGATCACTGCCCATCTGGGATAGGGTTTGCAGCCAGAGGTGATGCACCCGGAGTATTTCTGCTGCTAGGGTGAGGTCACCATGGGGATGAGCATGTTTCAGTGGTGTTATGCATGTCAGCACACTACAGCAGTGCCACCTGCACAGACAACTCAGGGAAACCTGTGTCCCACTACATTCTACCTCATAGCTAAGGAGTTGAGTAAACAATGGAGAAATGTACTTTCCTGAGAATGCGAATAAAGCTGTTACCTTTGAAATTAAGCACTACACTGGACTGAGTCTTGTGGAGAACTCTTCTAAGGTGTCTTTCTCTAGAGAAGAACTGATTTTACTCCATCGGGAGTGACTGAAGGGGAGCAGTCTGTGTCTGTGCTGCTCTCGTAGAGGCTATGGTATGGTGAGGAGGCAACTGCTGTGCTTGCCAGTAGAGAATGCCTGCTGGGGGGGCAGTGTTAATGCTACAGCTCCTCTAGAACAGATGTAATTCATCCTGCTGTCAGTTCCTGCATTAAGTGTGTCCCTTGAACTTACTGCAGTAACTCTTTGTAGTTTTGTAACTTAAATCTTTTGCGGTAAGAGTACAATATATCGCCAGCAATTAATTGCTCAGTAACTTCACTTATGCATGCTTCACTAATTACTGTATCAGCATGATGTGTTCTAGGAATAGGCAGAGTGCTACTGATTTTTTATTTTTTTTTTTTATTTTTTTTTTTTTTTATTCCCTACAGCATCACAAGTTCTGTGCCATATCAAGGCAGCTGACAGAAATAGCAGTTCAGCTCTTCCTATGTACGCAGCTGTCCTCACAAGCATGGCTTTGAGGGATACTTGCTGTGGAGTTACCAGCAATAGCCAGAGCAGAAATGCAATACAGGTGGGAACTGTGCTGCCTTGGAAGGCACACAGCTAGTGCTGAGAGCCCAGCTGATCTTCAGGAAAGCTCCTTCAGTTGTGAAAGAGGGACAGGCTGGCTCTACCTGCTGCTGCAAGGTCCTGGGGTGTGGAGGAAGGGGAGTGCAGCAGGCAGTGCTGTTAATGGTGTTAAACAAGCTTTCCTTTGTGCTGTGCTGGCTCCTAGTGCAGCAGTAGCTGTGAGTGTCATTCCTCCAACAAAAATATATTCACTGCTTTTATTGCTTGATGTACAGTTCTGCATTCTTTCCCACTTTACTCTCTGTCATGTCTTTGACAGCACATGCTGTGTTGTGGGCCCTAGTTCCTCAATTCAGCAGAAAGAAGGGAAGCTGATGGTGACCTGTGTGGTTATGCAGAGCAGAAAGGAGCAGACTTGTCAGCTCTTCAAAGATATCTGGAGTGTGCGCTGCACAGCTTTTCCATGAAAAGGTGCTTTTTGCAGATGTTAGCTCTGGTAATACTGCACTCAGAGCATCTTAAAGATGTCAGATGTGCCAGGTTTCAGACAGCCTTCAGTACAGCTGTGTTTAGCATGCTGCTGGCACCGGGTGAGAATGAGTCATTTGGGAAGTGGCAATCAGCAAAAAGAGCAGCACTTGGCATGGCCTGATGGCCTCTTGGAGAAGGGGCTGTGAGCAGCCAGAAGTGAAGGATGGGGCTTTGTAAGACAGAACAGGTGGCACAGCGGAGGTCTGGAGGTGGTTCTTAACCCACAGTGAAAGAGGAAGCGTGCACTAAGGAGAAATACCCAGTCATTGAAGTACTATGATTTATGCTCCATAGGGCAGGTATGCAGAAATGTAATTTTGAGGATCTTACAAATTCTGTTCACGTTATCAGAAGATGCCTGGGAAAATGTGTGGACCAGATACGAGGAAAAAAAAAAAACAGGAATTCCCATTCTTCTGTAGTCAGCATTTAGCTTAAGTACTTAAATGCTCCTAAAAATATATGAACTTCTGGCTTGTACACGAGATGACAGATACAATGTCTTTTTATTTTTACAAAAAAAAAAAAACCTGGTAAAAGATGATGTAAATAAAAGTGTAATGCGCCACTAAATGTAACTACTTATCCCCCTGTAAATACTTATTAAATAATTAAGAACACCAGCTACAGTACCACAAAACCATCAAAATAATTCCATTTTATCAGGGTCAGGAAAAAAATACAGTGATTATGGATGTGCCTTGACCGGTTACAGAGCTTGTTAGGATAATGTAACTACTGTCAGCAGCCCAACAGTGTGCACAGTGCCTTCAGTTAATGCGCTTCAGTACAATTAATTACATTTCTAGTGGGGTTCAGTTCCCCCAGAAAGGCAGAGCTAAGAATTTCAGTTCTACATTCTAAACTCTGGAATTAGAGCCCATTAAAAAAAATCACAGTGGGTAAGAGATGTATATAAAAATACTGGGTGTTCCTTTCAAATCACAGGAATCGTGGGACTACATTCTTTTTTTTTCTTCTTCTTTTTCATTTTTTTTATTTTTTTATTTTTATTTTTTTACAAAACGCTGTTGGTTTCAACAGAATCCAGTTTGTTTTATGCTACAGACCTTGACACTGAACTAGAAGAATATTGCCAGTTTGCGTGGTTTGGGAGGCAATCCTTTTGTCTGTATAGTCCCAATTCCTTAGGCTTAACTTGAGCCATGTATGTGCATTCAGACTTTCTGTTTGAAGCCTGCAGGCTACTCAGACTGCAAGTCATGTAGGTGACTACCCATAGTGAGTACTCCCCTTCCCCTCAGCTTTATACACTAATGTCTTAACAGTGCATTGCACAAATTTACAAGAAAAATACTGGTTTTGCACTATACAGTTTCTAGAATATTTACAGAATAAAATAAGTTAACTTCTAATGAGAATTGCTGATGGGCAGCATATATCTTTAATATACATTTTAAAGTCTCTGCAGGCAGCTACTTTTTGGTTAGTTGTTATCAATATTTGTAACATAAGCACTGATCAGAGAACTGAGCAGCATTCCAATAAAGTTAACAGATATATTATTTCTTTTAGAAACACTGGGAAATCCCAGTTTAAAATATTATTAAATGTCCTAACATTTACACGCTATGAGGATTAGATCTAATAAAATAAAATTTCTTCAAAAATAATCTTGCAGCTCTCACAAGCATGCTCTGAGACCTCATTTAACAATCATCCATACCTCCAAAAAACAACTGTCACATAGCCATACATACCAACTCACACACATTGTTTCCTCGTTACAGACAACAAAATAAAACACTGAGAAGTCAATGGTTTTTGCAGTCAGAAGCCCTCCTGCTCGTATTCGACCGCACACTCTCCATGATGCTGCAAAGTGTCTCATTAGGTATCAGTTGATGATTATATCTACTGCTGCTGGAAAGCCAGGGAGCATTGCAGGTCTTCAGCCAAAATAAACCAGCCTTGATTTTAGCCTCATCCCACCTGCAGTATTGATTCAACATTTAGAGGCTGTTACTGCAAACACCATCTATAGTTCTGTTACAACAGAAAATAATGCATATGTATGCATTACATTTAAGCCCTTTTCCTTTCATGTAGGTTTTATACATACATTTAATTAAAAAAAATACTACTGCCACACAGCTACTGTGTAGAAAGAGCAGTTAAGTAAGATGTTAACTTCCATTTTCAGATTCTTTACTTCTGAAGAACTAAATTCCAGCTGTGATGAAAGTGGGTCATTTGTCAGGATTGCTGCAGTTTCTTTTCTGTGTTCTTTGCTTTTGTTTTAAATGAAAGGTGCTCAGTAATAGTCAGAAGCATCTTCAGTATCAGTTCTCTTCTAAATGACAGCTGTTCAGAATCCAGTGCTCACAAGACTGACTCCTGGTTTGATTTTCCCTAGAAGGTGATAGGATTGCACCATGCGTAGAGACTCCCGAATTTCTAGATTAAGTTCCATCAGCTTTGAGCTGGCCTCAGACATATCCTGGTTGGAGCCCACTACTGCAAAGCTCCCAGTCTGACCAAGTGTCTGATGACGGAAATATATGTGCAGCAGTGTTTGGATGGGGTCATCTTCTGAACTGCCAAAGATGTCGTGGGGCCAAATGGATCTGTGGACACAATTTGTATTTAGACGTTAAAAAAGTAATTAAGTATTCTTAAAACGGGGATCTGAACAGAAGATGTGGAGATGCAAGAGGAATGTTTTTTCTGTAGTCCTTATAGTGAACAGTGTGATTTTTCACAAAGCCAAATTCTGAAGAACAACTATTCCTACAATTGCCTTTTTTTAAATCAAAAAATGCCAATGAACATGCAATAATTAATCACCTGTGCTTGTCTTTTGCAGTGAGAGTATCTAGCAATACCTGAAAAAATTGGAATAGTGCCTGTCCCTGTCTTTAAAACAGCCCATTAGCAAATTCTGGCCTGAAAGCATAATCCTTATGCACACACCTGAAAGCCTTGACCTGTGCTACAGCTGACACAAACTCCTTGCTTCTCAGGGCTTCAATGAGGGAGTGAATCGCTGTTTCTGTGCTAGCTTGGGAAGCTTCTGCAATTTCAATTTCTTCGATACCACTGTCAGATGCAGCCTCAGCCTCTTTCAGACAGCTCTCCAAAAGAGCAAGTTCCTCAGACATGTTTATGACCTAAAAGAAATACAAAAGTAAGCTTTTCTAGTTTAAATATATCTTTAGCTAAATTAAGCTTCAGCTGGTCAGACACACACATTTTTCCTCCTTGGTACAATCCTAAATAAGATACAGAAAAAGTAATCCAACTATTTGCTTCAGTTCCTCATACATACAGCCAGCTTAATGGCCCAAGTATATCAGGTGTTTCAGCTTTCCCCGATGAAATTTCCATCTTTGTCAGTTCTTTAAAATTTGTTCCAAAAAGTACCTTTTTCTTCTCACATCACTTAAGAACGATTAAGTTGATATGAAGCATTAAACGCTTTGGAAAGTACAACAGAAGTTATGTTGTTACAATGACAACCTCAACACAAAGAAAAAATCTGTAAGAACTCACAGCCCAGCAGAATAACTAATTCAGATAATGTATATAATAATCTTTTGCTTTAGCTCCAGCATATAAATGAAAGACAAAAGCATGCTCAAAACAGGATTCTGCAACTGACTTCAGAATTCAGGCTGGTGTGAGGCTGACCTTCCGTGACGTTCTTCATACAAAACAAACTCACTCATTTGCAGCCCCAACAAAAATCTGGGGATCTAAGTAACATGCATCATTTTTTTCCTAAACCAAAGGCTTCCACTCCTCTTCTTTGTTTTCCTCTCCACTACATCAAGCAATACTTTTTTCTTTTAAAATGCTTCCTCTGTTGCATTACAGTCCCGTGGGAGAACGTTGAGAAGATTATTA